TTATCTATTTTCATATGGATTTTAAATTATGAAATTATAGTTTTTCTGAAAAAGCATACATATTTTTAATATGAAAAAAAGGCTCCTGAAGCTAAAAGTCAAATAAAAGCCCCTGAAGTCTAAGTCCAACACACTCTCCTTTAGGAAATTCTGGTAACAACCCAAGGCAGTCAGGGAAGTGGGTGCTTTCAGGATGTGCCCACAAAGTGCTAGCACTAAACAGGTCTTTAAAAATGCTTGGCACTGACTGATTCTACTTGCAGCAGCTGGAAGTTTTAGAGACTGGGTTTTCAGGATGGACAGGAAGCTGGGATGGAAGGTCCACTGATGGTTAAGGTCAGAAGGGGGTAGTTCTTTGTCTTGAAGCAGGTGTTGTCCAAAACCTGTGGAGAAAAATCCTCTCCTATTTCTACAGCATTGCCAAAGGTGAAATCCCTTCTCTCTCAACACTCTCCCAGCCCCAAGCACCGGTACCAGGGAGTTAAAGTCGCAATTAGAAATGATCCCTTAGGAAGAACTCCGACAATAGCTGATTCAAGAATGGGAGTGAGGAAAGATACAGTAGTGGTGGTAAGGCCAAGAGGGATGGGAGGAGGCACAAGTGCTTCAGTCCTCAAGCTTTGGGCTTCCACTTGCCCAGGCCGTTTTGGTCACAGTATTCTGATATGCATGACCATAAGATGGAGATTCTCAAGCTTGGACATGCCTTAGAATCACTTGAAGCCCAACTGTACCTAATGCCAATTACAGCAGAATCCCTGGGGTGGAACCAGCCCCAAACTTTTTACTGTTGCTTTTTCAATTCCCCAAATTGATTCCTTTCTGTAGCTAAGTTTGAAACCTGGTCTCTGAAAGAAAGACTTCATAGACTTTAAAATGACGGAGAAGAGCCTGGATGACTTTTACATGCAGATTCAGATTAAGCTGGTCTAGGAGGGGCTGTGATTAGGAGATGAGGCTGAGGCTGGTACTGCCAGTCCAGTAGCAGGTTCTAGAAAAACCACATAGGACCTAGTTCTGGATACTGCCTCTGAGCATGCCCAGAGCTTCTGGGAAGGGTCTGGAAATTGGCCCTCATAGGAAATGCTCCTAGGTATCTGTGAGGGACTGCTCAGTTTTGTTCTCCTTATTCAAGGAAAGGTGAGGTTGTGCTAGCCTGCACTTAAGAGACACAAAGCTTAGTTCTGAAAATGGAATGCAGCCCCATAGCAGATGTTCACTCTCCAACCTGTGCGCTAACATCCTGTGATGCAGGAGACAAATGGAGGAAAGCTGTCACTTCCTTAACATCCTTTAGGATGGCACAGAGAAGACTGAATCCTTGGAAATAAGCACTGTGTACACACATACACGGTTAAAGAATTTTTCATGTTCTTTTTCTGCATATAGGTTTGTTGATTCCTGTCTTTAAAAATGAAAAATGGAGACCCAGCTATGTTTACTTATCTACTCACCAACTGAACTAATGCTTGTCTTCAGGGTCATTGGAACAGTTAAATCTGTGTAAAAGTCAACCAAAGTTATTCAAAGCAAGAATTCTGTTTGGCCAAATCACCAAGCAGAAAGCAACATGCATTTCCACTCAGTACGTTTCACAAAATACATTCAGAAGGAGAACCTTGAGATGATGATTCTTGGTACTGGACATTTCACAACTGGGACTGGCTTTCTCTAATGTGGTATCCAAAATCAGATCAGACACACCACTGATGCTTTTCATGCTTTCATTAAGTAACAGAGACAACAGTACCAGTAAAAAAAAAAAAAAAAAAAAAAAAAAAAAAAAAAAAAAAACAGAAGACTGTGATGAAGAGCAGTTAGCTAGCTGAAGTTGGGACAGAGGCATAGAAATGTGCACTTTTTAAACTAGAATTTGGCTTCTAGTAGAGTGAGGTTGCGTTCAAGATCAAGTAAGAGGGCCAGTGAGATGGTTCAGTGGGACCTTGCTGTCAGGCCTGACCACCTGAATTCCATCCCTGAATTCAAAAGGGTGCTGCAGTGAGCTGAACACACAAGTTGTCCTCTGACACACATGCATTACCACACGTGGCCTGCACTAAAGAGAACACACAAATAAATAAATGGAAAAATATCAAGGGAGGCCTAGCCCCAGAGCACAAGAAAGGCGCAGGGTTGGGGGACGCCGGAAGTGTGTAGTGCTGGTCATGGCTGGGTCCTTTCCTGCAACTGACAGTCCCACATTGGCCCCATTTCTAGTTTCCCAGCTTCTATACAGCCTCTATAGGTTGTAAATCATAAAACAATCCTTAGAACTTAACACATCTACAGAACTAAGGAAAGTTATACCGTTCTTAGGATGATGCTTTGTTCAAAAGCATTTTCAATAATTACTTAACCCATCTAATCTCTCCATGTGATATTTCTATGCTAACGTTCCGCATTAACCACTGAGATCTGAGAGACGAAGTTGAGCGATTTATTCAACATCACTCAACACAGGCTGAGTGGGGTCAGGCCTCGGTAGCTTCTGCCCGGTTCGGTGGACAGTCCGGTCTCCGAGGACACAGCACTGAGGGTCTCGGAGACAGCAGCAGTACTAGCTCTAGGCTTTCCAGATAACGTGAAAGGCGAAGTGCACACACCGCCGGGTCAAGCTCTCACCAACACCTGCACGGAATTTTACAAGCAGGGAAGCTCACATCCCAGGTCTTCTTACCAGCAACCCCCTAAAAAAATCTGTATTTCAGATGCACGGGTAGTTTGCGAGAGCTCCCAAGCCCCAGCCCGAGGCAAGGGAACCACACCCTTCCGAGGGACCACGGTCGCGCACCAGACCCGGGAAGGTTCCTCTTTCTGATGGACAAACCCAGCACAGAAGCCCACAGTAGTGCTGCCTGGCGCGGCACAACCGAGCGGATGGCCTGGGAACCCGCAGAGACCTTGCGCTGCACCCAGGCAGGCAAAAGGCACAGCCACCCACCCACCCAGGAGCGCCCTGTGGTTGCCTGCAGGTCTGCGGAGGGACACGGAGCCTCTGCAGCCGACAGGAGGTGACGATGCTGGGACAGCAGCCGACGATGCTGGGACAGCAGCCTTCGCCCCGGCTCCCCGCCTCCAGCCTACCCCACCATTGCCCACGGGCTACCCGGGGCTGGTCGCTGCACCCCCACCGCCACCTGCCCAGGACCGGCCTCCCCGGGCCACCCCACGCCACCCTTACCTGAGCCGGATATGTGGACCCGGAGCGGGCGGCCCCTGCTGGAGGCCGACGTCAGGTCGCTCTGGGAGCGGCCACGGGGACTCGGGTCCCCGGGCAGCCAGCGCAAGGCAGGCGCGGACCGGCCGCCGGGCGCCTCGGGCTCGGGGAGCAAAGCCACCTCCGCCGCCACCGCCGCCTCCTGCCCGGCCGGCTGGTCCGGCGACATCGCCGGGCTCCTGCCAGCTTCCGCCATCCGCTCGCGGCTCCGGCTGGGAGCGAACACAGGGTGGGGCCGGCGCGGAGGGCTGAGCTGATCGCTGCGGCCCCGCGTGGAGACCCCGGGCGGGCGAGCTGGGCGGCCGGCAGTAGCCGGCGCGCAGCGCGGGAGGAGGAAGAGCACTGAAAAGTTTGCACAGGAAGGAGCCGCCTACAGCCACTCTCGCTCCCACCGCTACAGCCACACGGCTGGGAGCCCAGCCGCCCTCGGTACCCGGGGACCTGCCCCGCGGCTCCTCCCCCAGGCGCGGCACCTCCGCAGGGAGCCAGGGGTCTGTCCCGGGTGGGTCTGTCTCCTCTGGCCCAGCTGGCCTCAGAGAAGTGGAGTTTGAGCTGCGATGCAAGGTCGGGGTTAACAGAACCATTTGCACCCGGGCGGGGCGGGGTGGGGACACGCGTGCACACACCTGACCGCTTGAGCTAGGACAGAGACGGTCACAGGCCGTTTGCAGGTGCTAAACGCGGGCGCTAAAGGGCTCTGGATTTGTGTTCCTGGCAGACCTGGAGTCTCTTGTGAAGTCAAGCGCATTGATCCTCCCTCCTCTACCACCTCTTGCCCTCGTCAAAGCTCATCTTCTCTCACAGCTCTACATTCCTGGGCTCTGCTGGGTCAGACTCAAAGGTCAGGTTTTTAAAAACTCACTCTTCTAAGAACTCGCATCACAGATGTGGTGTCTGAGTCGATGCTTTCCAACGGAAAGACAGCGGAGGTGACTGGCACTGAACACAGTGCCCTGGAGGTTGCAGAAGGGACAGAGATTTTGCCAATTTGAGCTGGTGACTTCACAGCCCTAACTTTATCAGTTTCACCGTTAAGCTCCCCAGTCGTCGCTGGCCCAGAATTGAAGCTGTAAGTCAAAACTCATCTCTGGAAGTTTCTAGCAATGTAGGAATGTCGCTGGGTTTCACCACAGGGACCATTGATAGTGCCAGGAAAAGTGGGAGACTGAGGGGGTAAGGGAGGACAGGATTAGAAGTTACCATTCAAAACACACACACACGCACACACACACGCTCACGCACACACACCGTTCATTAGGCACGTTGAACATAATACTTCATTTAATAAGAAAATAAACTCAAGCATAAGATAAAAGAGAAACAAAAACCAAGAGTGCAAGCTACACTTGCACAAAGATACCCACAGAGGCCTGCAGCAACTAGGTCAGTACTAACAGCACTCCCTTGACAATTGAAAAAGGGCTTTTTCTCACAACTCTGTGGAGAGGACCTGACTATTCCAGCTTTGCTGAGAAAAGTGTCCAAATACAAGTTCGTTTCCACAGTCAGCCAAGGTCATCTGGACTTGCTGTAACCATTTCCTGCTAACAAACCTGCAAATCTACAGTACTCCAGAGCCAGCCAGATGGCTCATCAGGTAAGGGTGTGCTTGCCACCTCGAGACTGAGGACCCGAGTTCAATTCCCAGGACCACATGGTGGAAGGAAAGAACTGACTCCCCCAAGTTCTCCTCTGACCACCACATGAATGCTCTGATCTATAGAATCACACACACACACACACACACACACACAAATGAGTAAATAAATAAATTTTAAAAATTAAATCTATAGCACTCCAGATGTGACTTTACTTTCTTGGTGTCTTGTGCGGTTGAGGAGAGGAAAGATCTGTGGTTTCAGAGAAGGGAAGATAAGGTTACAGGACACTTTGATGGACTTTATATTTATACTTACCCTGAAGAGTCACTCTTGCTACATCTAATTATAATTAGATTAGCACATGAGCATAGAACACCGAGAACTTACGTTTGCTAGCTGGGCATCCACTGTGTTCTAGACACCAGCTTCTGTGATCATCCATGTTCCTATGTCTTCTTCCTCTGCTGCTGTCTCCCCTCCCCCACTCACAAGCCATCTTTACTCTGAGACATACATTCCAGCTTCCCACCCATGAGATTTACCCCATCCTCTTTCCATTGCTTGCTACATGAGTGTACATATGTCTTTTAGGCTGCTGTCTCCCCATCCTTTGGTCAATCTCCTGTGTCATCTTTTGTGAAGATAAATGGGTAACTAAATGCTTTAAAACCTGAGAAGTTGTCCCTGGCTCTTAAAAATTTTCTCTTGCTCTGTTAAACACCATGACCAGAAAGCAACTTGGGGGAGGAAAGGGTTTATTTTATCACACACTTCCATCATCACAGAGTACAGCTAGGGCAGGAGCTCAGAGCAGGAACCTGGAGGCAGGAGCTAAAGCACAGACCATGGAGGCACACTGTTTATTGGCTTGCCCTTTTGGCTTGGCTTGTGCTCAGTCTGCTTTCTTATACAATTCAGGACCACCTGCCCCAGGGTGCCACCACCCACAGTGGGCCCTCCCACTTGACTCAACAATCGAGAAACTGCTTCAGAGACATGCCCACAGGCCCACCCAATAGAGGAAATTCTGCAGTTGAAGTTACCTCTTCCCAGGTGGGTCAAAGTTGACAAACTGAAGTTATCTAGTGAATCATTATTCAGCTGTTCGAAAATTCATCACTTCAAATTTGATTAGAAAAACACATCTTTGGGTACCTTTTATGGGCCAGGCACTGTTACAGGCTCCCCTGCCGTATTAGTTACTTTTCTGTTCCTGTGATAAAACACCATGACCAAGGGAATTTATAGAAGTCACAGTTTATTTGGCTTACAGTGTCAGGAAAGAGTCCACAATTGTGGGGGAGGCATGGCAGAGCAGAAAACTGAGTGTTCACACCTTCAAGCAGACACAGGAAACAGAGAGAGCCAGACTGGAAGTTTGTGTGGCTACATGCTTTAAAAGCCCAGCCCCCAGTGATATGCCTCCTCCAGCATGGCCACAGCTCCTAAAGGTTCCATGACCCTCCCCAAACCAGGGACCAAGTGTTCAAATACTTGGAGCTTATGGGATCACTCATTCAAACTATCACACTGCCCTCAAAGAACCTTCATTTCCATGCCATCTCCAAACCTCCTGGCACTATGTGCTTGTCCTGTGTTCTGGTGTCCATTTTCTGTGCATTCCTTTGTAGTAGGCAAGGATGACCTTGAACTTGATCCTCCTACCTCTACCACCTGAATGCTGGGATTCCAGTTGTGCACCATCATACTTGGTTTATGTTGTGCTGGAAATTGAACACAGGGCTTTGTACATGCCAGACATGCGTGCTACTAACTGAGCTACATCCCCAGCCCCAAGCTTCCCTTCTTGATCTTTCTTCCACACTTGACTGTCAATATGCCGAGAGCTGAACTCTCCTCTTCCCCCTCCCATGAACCTGCTTTTGGGGGTCATCAGAATCACTTTCCTCCTGCTGTGTGTTGTCCTGTCCCCTCTGTATTTGAGTTTTCAGCTTCTATTTTCTCTCACAGAAACTCTAGCCTCTGCAGTCATTTTCCTCTACCCTGCCCTCATCATATTCATAGAACGATCTGAAAGTGCTCACAGGACTTAGCTACACCTCCCTGTAAATTCTTTCAAGAAGGCTTTGAGTGTAGAACAACATGTGATTAGCATGTGTGAGGCCTTGACTTCAAGACCCAACACGAACCAAAATAATCAAAATTTTTAAAAGACAAGCGTCCATAACACATAGGTGACTTTTTTTCCTTTTGGCCATGCTAGGCAAGCACTCTTGCATCCTGCCCTAAACTCTTTACTTAAGGCTATTATGCACTGTGCTCTCTGGCCACAGACTCCACAGTAGTTCCCTGAATGTGGCTTGTTTTTCTATATGGTACCTTTGTATGCCCATTTCCTCAGCCTGCAGTGTCATTTCCCCATCCTCCTAGCTTTACCTAACTGGCCATAGCTATCCTCCAACCCTCTGTCATGTATCTCCATACATGAGGCTTTGTCATTCTTCCTGGCTTCCAGATCATCCTAAGTGTCCCTCCTGAGCAGTACCGCCAGCCGGAAGCATTTCTCTTAATGTCATTTTTGGCACAGGATTTTGATTGTAACAAGGACAGCAATCTGTCTCCGCTGCCGCCTTGAATGACTTCAGTGCAGGAAGTACTGATTCTCTCTTTTGCTCCCTCCCACACCAATGTAGGCTTAATGAATCTATGATTGGCATCTATTTGGGGATGCAGACATTAACAGAGACTTATCTGGAAGTTCATGGCAATTGGCAACACTAAGCTGTAGCTGGAAGGTGCCATGAACACCAGAAAAGTAGGTGCCTAGACTCAGGGGAAGCTTCCTAGAGGAGTGGCTTCTCATGCCAGGTACCCCAGGACAAGGGAGGGATCTGCAGCTACAGAGACCTAAGGAGCCAGGTCTCCTCAGCATTCTGTAATGCAAGAAAAGAAATGAAGATAAAACCTCATCACATAGTGAAAACCTCTAAGTCACTTCTGCTCTGAGACTTTATAACTATGAAAATCTTACTTGTATTCATCTTAGAGTTGAAGATAAAGCTGAGCCTGGTGGCATTTCCCCCATATGGTACTAACCTAAAAAACTAAAGAACTTTGGTCCTGTCCTCCTCTGTCTCTTCCAGTCCTCTTCTCACTATAAAAATAAACACATAGAGCCAAGAGTGGTTGCACACACCTGTAATCCTAGCACAGGAGGCTGAGACAGGAGGAGTTTTAGTTTCAGGTCAGCCTGGGCTACATAGCTATACTCTGACTCAAAAACAAACAAACCTAAAAATAATCCAAGCAGAGTAAAATGATAGATATTTGCCAAAGGTTGAGGTGTGGGGTGTGCACAGGGAAAGACAGACAACAGGAGGAGGAGGAAGTCAATGTGCCTGGAACCTTAAAGGGCAGGCATAGCGGTGAGCCACGAAAAAGACTGTAAAAGATTTAAGCAAAATAACAATCTGATCTGTCAGGATCTTTTGCTTCAATTTTGACACCTAAATGATGTATATATTCGGTTTGTTGGGTTGTTTTAAAGAGTGAAGAAAATGTACATAGGGTGTCAAGTGTAGACTGGCCTGTAGTGGGAGCTCTGTCTACTACCCTAAGACATTTGTGATATAGATGGTGCTCTTTTTCC